GAATATTCTTTGCGATCACAGTTAATGACGTTAACTCCAGCCGGGTCTGAGGACTGACAGACCAATTAGAATGTCCATGGATGAACCTCTTTGGTGTGTGCAATATTCAATCTCTGTGTTCAGTCTTATCAGAGCAGGACCATGTTTCTGCTTTTTCCTTATGATTCCGATTTTTTTTTTAAAGCACCACCTCGATTTGCACTCATTTGGTTACGAACTCCAAGAGTTGGGAAAAACAAACGTTCCTATGCACATTGAAATGGATTAATGTATTGATTGCGTCAGTGACGCCCAAGGCTAGCCCTCTCTCCTAAAGCAACAACTGTTTGGGGAAAGGTAATTAAACATTTAGCACAATCCAAAAACACACTCCTTGTTCCTCTAGGTCAACGTGTAGACACTGAGCCTGCAGCACAAGATGGCAGATGACTGCGATAATGGGAGTTTCGATCCCAGAGAAGTTGGGATCATTTGTGAACTTTCTATTAGAAAGAGACAGTAGGGAAGCAAACGCCCAAATGTGCTTCTAAGTGATAGAGCTTCTGAAGCACTCAGGTGTACCGACTCAATTATTCTGAACCTTGGTGATTAATTACAGATTTATAAGGGAAAAAATGAAAAGCCTTAAATCTATCCGCGCCGGTTCCATGATGTATGAACGTATTTGTCAGCTTGGTTCTATTAAGAATTTTTTCTGAGAAGAATCTTTAAGTTTTTCTCCTGCGACAGAGCAATTTCACAATCTTGAACCCTCAGATCGTCAACCCCCTCATTCCTCTTACCTGGCTCATTAAGCCCCTTTCACATTCCTTGATGAAATATGTTATTGCCTTATAGTTTTCTATCATAACTGTGCTTTAGGGATAACGTCAGCAGCTCTAAAAATCCAAAGGCAACACTGGACCCTGAGCTGTATTTTGAAGAAAAGCAGAATGTATGTAGGAATTAAAGCCTGTAATGCAAATCACCCTTTTACTGGTATATTAAAGCTCAATTTCTAATTCGATCACAATCTGGGATTCAAAGCCATGATTCCACGAACAATAGCCACATTAGAAATATGCGCTGTATTGCTTTTCCCCCCCCATTTGGCACATTCTATTGAGAAGTCCCTACATTTATTAGATTCGTTTTGTCAGTTCCATTGCACTATTGATTATTATTTCCTTTTAAACCCGAGAATAGAGTGAGTAATGATTAACTTGGAGAATGCTGGGAATAAAACCATAATTGTCCACTGATGTATATGAGTAGTAGAAGATGGATCCAATTGGGAATAATTTTTACTCTAATGCTGAAATCACTCAAGTAATTCATGCTTTTCAATTAAATTCTGTAGAATAATAGAAGGAGCAAAATATTACTGTTGACACTGCATTAATATCATGAATTTACCCTTGAATGAAAATTGCCCATGTCAGCTCAAACGGGTCCATTTGGAAATACAAGCGTTGGATGCAATTTTGAAAACTATAACAGACACTGCATTACCAACATATAGACAGTTTTTACTTCACTCATACTTCATGCCAGGCAGTATTAGGTTTAGAGGAAGACGTACACAGTGGAACCCAACATTTCAAATAAATAATCTATGCATTACGGGAAGTTTAACCTGGAAAAACTATCTTCCCATAGAGCACATGTCAAGATAGCAAAGAAGAAATCAATAATGGGGCCCACTTGTGATAACAGGGAGAAGCAACGTCAAAACTTAGACAGCCTAAGAATAGAATGGACTCATACAATGGAGTAGCAATAACTAATATAGTGTAGCTGGTATATTTATTCCACCTGAATAAATTTACCAGCCATAACGCCGAACTGAACATAAAAAGCCAGTCAAAGATCCACTGGGACTATATTTAAATAACTATCAAAAACATGAACCATTGAGTGATATATTTATGGTATTCATATATTTGCCTATAATAGCTACACACAAAAATGTGAATGTATTTAAAATAACTGAATGTAGACAAATATGTACACAAATATTGAGAGAAAACGGGACAACAGTGCCTGCTTCAGTTTTGGGTGTGCAGTGAATCCTTCAGTCATCCTATGTTATTATTCTTTTTTTTAGTTTCAGGTTTACAAAGCAACATAATAGTTAGACATTTACACCCCTCACAAAGTGATAACCCCCCAATCTACTACCCCTCTGACATCTTATACAACTGTTACAATATCACTGACTATCTTCCTTATTCTATACTCCACCTCCCATGCTACATAAACAGAAGGTGCCAATAAAATGGATACACATTTTAAGAAAGGAAAACTGTATTAAAATTCATACTCAATATATATCGATAACAAAAGATGAATACACGTCACGTGTGACTTCTGCAATGACAAGAGGTGCTCAGAGTGGTTCCCATCGGTGTCCGGACACTTCTGATGACGGCGAACTATGGCTTGAGCAACGTGGACCAAAGTGTCCACTTGTATAATTTTTTTGGCACCCCAGGTATGTATGTATGTATGTGTGTGTGTGTATTTTTTTAAATTTTAATTATAGTTGACATATAATATTATTCTACTTTAGCTTGAATACAGTTTGGGGAATATAATCAACAATGTTATAAAGATTATGTAAGGTGCCAGGTGGGCACTGGAATTATCCAGGGGATCACTTCCTATATTCTTCTTATAATATATACACAGCTTATTTTGAAGTGGAGGACTATTGTGAAAAAGAATGAGGCAATTTCCTTTTATTTCATTATAAGATGCCCCCCACGTACATATTTTAGTATCGTGTTTATTTCAGCTCTAATGGATGCTGAGTCCCACCAGACGACTCTTTGCTCCTGATGTGCTTAGGTGTGACCAGTCATTTCCCAAATACGCTATATGCGCAGGCTGATTTCTTTCCCTTACTCCCAATGCATCCTTGTCCATAGTAAAGGCCAGTTGCTCTCCAGTTTCAGAGAGCCTCTATAGTATGGCATATCCTCCAAAGAACTATTAGTCACAGCTTTACTTTTCTAACTTATCCTCTCAGCCTTTGATATAAATTATTCAGTCTGCTTCAGGGAAGCTGAGAGGTCATCGAGGCAGAGGTACTTTCTCAGAAGTCCCATATGTTTATACTCCTTCCTACGATCCATTCTTTGGAAAGTTCTCATAAAAATAAGTGTAGGCAGAAAGCCGGCCCACGTTGGAAAACCTCCCTGTCACCAACTGCATACACTGGGGGTCCCATTGGCTAGCAATGCCTGTTAACAGTAACGGGCTGGGCTGGGCGAATTTTGCCAAAAAAGACCATTTCCAACAGTTCTGAGGGATGAGGCTCTAAACTACGATGCTGTGTTCCCACAATCAAGGAGCATCTCAGCACAGACAAAGGTAGAAGAAAGTATTCTTGAAAAGGCCAAGTGTGTGTGTGTGTGTGTGTGTGTGTGTGTGTGTGTGTGTGTGTGTGTGTCACACACTCTGCTCCAAAAATGCACAGGAAAATTCACCGTGTATTCCTAACAATGTTGGGCACGAAAAAGAATGTACTCTCCACTTAGTCTTGCATTCTCTTTAAGTGTCTACTCTTGACCCACAAAGAAATGAACAGGTATCACCCCTCTGCCCTCACTTCCCACACTCATCTTAGATGATGCGCACAGTGATCAAGAGACATTTCAACACATAGAATAAAATCCTTCTTCTGCATCTCTACCTAGCAAACAACTCCTTTGTATTTTCAACAAAGCCCTTGCGTTCAAATGGCTGTAATGGTGTTGTTGCCCAGTGTTCAGCTTTTCCCAACAAAGGTAGCCTGTTCGCACAAAATATTTTAAAATTTATTCCTGAAATATCCTTATCTTATCAGTTAAAGGGAAAGCCGACCTCTGGGAGAATATTATAATCTTCTAAGTTTTTGTGTGGAGCTGGACGCTCCTCTCTATGAAAATGCTCAGAATTTACAGAAACCTGATTGAAACGGATGACTAGAAATGGAGAGATACAGCACTCAGCTATGGCGAGTGGGGTGATGATAAACAGAAGAATATTGACGTGGAAAATAGTTTCGCCACTTCCACTGTCAGCACTAAAACATCACTTGTACTACAGTAATAGAATGTGACGTATGACAAAAAGCCTACTGTGACTGCAATTCTGGTGGAAAAGATTGGGAAAATGAGGGGATTGGAAATTTCCAGCTCCCTTTGGAGTGTACATCCGAGACACAGTCACTGAATGCATCTCATTTGAGTGGGACACTCACAATGAGATAACTCAATTTACAAATGTGAACGCACCCAATTTCCTCAACTCCTGTGAACATTTTCATATCCCTGAGATCTGAGCAGCTTTGGAAGGGTGGATTGACACTGCTCCCCCATCACAGCTTTGGGGGAAAACACTGTTATTTTAGTGCTGATACTCTATTTATCTCCTGTTGAGAAGGAAGTATTTACATGTATTACCATGCTTTGAAATGATGAATTAGAACTGTTACAGAAAAATGGAGTGCCTGGGTTCCAGCCATCGGGCAGACACATTACCATTATGCCACGTGAGTAACACCTTACAAACCCATTTGTCACACAGAAGAGGTGTCACATGTAATCTGATTCATTGCATGTAATAGATTAGGTGAAATTTACTTAGATTTTCAGCAACGTGCATAAAATAACTAACACACACCAGCGGCAAACTGCATTTTATCTTTGAAATCTTATTAGGGCTCCCTGGGCCAACACAAGGAAGAGCTGGTTGTATTTCAGCTGGCATCAAGAAATGACACTGGACCAATCTGCTGCCACAAATCATAGTCCAACCAGTCCCATTTAGGCTGCTTGATGGATGTCAGAAGACTAGTATGACCATATACACAGTGTAATTATCTACTTCTGGAAGTCTGCTCTGGGCCAAAGAAGCTTCTCCTTACTCGGGGGACATACTAACCTAGGAGAATATCTACACCAGTTGGTCTAAGTGTTTGATTAAATGACAGTTCTTAATGCTTTTATATTGCCAAGGCAACGTGCAGTGCATACCTGCTGTATCTTAGCTTCGTAAGATCTGCTAATTCTGGAGGCTGGGCCATCCGAGATCAGGGTGCCAGCACGGTTGTTTTCTAGGTTCTGGTGAGACTTCCTCCAGGTTTGTAGACAGCCTCTTCCCCACTGTGGTCTCACATAGCGGGGAGAGGGAGGAAGGGACAGACAGGGAGAAGGACAGGGAGAGAGAGAGAGAGAGAGAGAGAGAGAGAGAGAGAGAGAGAGAGAGAGAGAGAGCTCCAGTCTCATACCTCTTCTTCGCAGGTCTTTACCCTCATGACCTTAGTACATCCTTATGGCCCCATCGCCAAATACCATCACACTAGGGGTTGGGGTTTCTACAAATGGGTTTATTTGGTGTGGGGGGGACACAAACATTCAGTCCATAGCAGCATCTAGATTTCCTTTTGGGAAAGGAAATTCCCTCCCATTGTGTGTGAACTTAGAAAGGTAGATCGAGGTAACTGTGTCCCTGTGTGGAAGCCAAGTAAGGCCACTGTGCTCTCGTCCTGAGAGTTGGGCATTTGAAAAAGTCCCGCCATGCAGAGCACTGCCTGGTGCGCAAGTGACGACGATGGGATAGATGCAGACCAGCCTGGGGCAAGGTGACTTCCAGGGACACCTGGAGGGCTCTTGGTTCCCACCTGACCACAAGGGTTGACCTCCAAGGCCACATGGCTTTCATGAACCTTCCTGAAATCTTTCAACCAAATTCCAAAATCAGCTTCAGTTGTTTTCAACCAAAACCCATAGTGATACAGACCTTCCCCACTGGAAGTGATCAAAACTTGAAATACTTGCATGAAAATCATCGCATGGATGTACCAATGTCCTGCCTTCACCCACATTCCTGCCACGTCCTTCCTCGGTCACGGAACAGGCTACTGTTTCACTTGGCCAAGTTTTCTGAATCGTTCAGCCCACTTGACTGCATTCTTGTGCTGGGAAGTAATGGGGTCTCATCACCATCATATTCCTAGGAGTTAGGTCATGCCTGACTCCCGGTGGTTATCAAGAAAAGTATCTGTGGTTAGAAGATTATTGACTGAATATCAAAATCTATAAAAAAAGAATGAATCTTAGCATTCGTGACAACATGGAGGACCTACAGGGTATTGTGCTGAGTGAAAAAAGTCAGACAGAGAGAGACAAACACCATATGATCTCACTTATATGTGGAATCTAAGGAACAGAATAAACGAATAAGCAAAACAGAAACAGACTCATAGATGCAGAGAACAAACTGATGGTTGCCAGAGGGGAGAGGGGTATTGGGGTCAGGGTGAAAAAGAGGAAGGGATTAAAAAGTACACATTAGTAGTTACAAAATAATCACGGGAATGTAAAATACGGCATAGGGAATATAGTCCACAATATTGGAGCAAGTATGTATGATGCCGGTTGAGTACTAGACTACTCGAGAGAGTCACCGCATAAATTATGTACATCCCTAACCACTATGCTGTACACCTGATGCTCATATAAAATAATATTGAATGTCCATTGTAACTGAAAAAATTAAGAAATATTGGGTTGTTGGAAAAGTCATGACGTATTTTTTCTCTGGTTTTCGTTGCAAACATGTGTCATGACTCTTCCGACAACCCTATAATTAAAAATAATCCAATCTACCGAGGAGCTGCTACGCCATGGAACCTCTGGTGTCTACTCCTTCCAGACGCACCATCACCCCCACCCCCCGCACCCACCAGGCAACTTTTGAGAAGACCACCTAAGCCGTACGTCGGGAAGGAAGGCTGCCCATTGACCCGACAATTACTCAGCCAACACCAGCTCTCTGTAACCGCAACAGAAACGTTATGATTAGCCTGCATTAAAATTACATTGATTGAGTACCCCTCACCGCAAGGTACGCAAACCCCACCACTGCATTTAGACACCTAAAAGGGTACATAAATGTACTCAGTGAGGGGTCATGGGAAGGGGCACAGAGATGGCTGGAACGAGGCCGAGGCAGCCAGCACCCACACGAGTTTGATCGGGAACTGGGGGATGGATGAATGTGCCAGAGGGACGCTGTTCACCCAACTGTTGCATAATTACATTGTTCAGAGCACGACACTTGCTGCACTATTTTGCTACAAAGACATTTAAAATCTCTGCTTAAAAATCTCTGCTTAAAAAAAAACTGACATGTTTTACGTGAAATAATTAGGAGAATTTGAGAAGTAGTAATTTTGGTAATTACCAAATAGTGTGACTCTCTCCCAATAAAGCATATGTCACATTCCAGAAAAACATCTTTAGGTTGTTTTCCCCTTTTTTAAGATTTTTTTTTTCCTAGGCGGCACACAAGTTGAAAAATTCTAGTGCTTTTCCCCGTATTTTATCTGAGTCACTTTTTTTAAACAAATGAGTTTTAGTGTTTCTGCGTTTCACTTTTTCCTGGGAAATGTCAAGCTCTGAACGTTTCTTTCGATCTCTCCCCAGTGATTTTTTTTGAAGCAGAAATGGCTTCTTTTTTTTTTTTCCTTCCTTCTTTCTTTTTTTTTTTCTCTTTTTTTATTGCAAAGAAGCCGCACGGGAGAGAGTATGGGAAATGATGACGCTGGGGAGTTTTGCTCTCCTAAGACAGAAGATTTCTGCATCTCTCACTCCTACAGATGACATTTTCCATTATTTGCCTTATAGAAAGAGGACCATTTGTTCGGATAACTCATAATCATGAACACACTCTCTTATTCCCCGAGAAACTCTTAAGGTATTTATTACCCTTCTCATGGTTATTACTGTATTGTTGGCAATATGCTCCCCTTTCCGTATAAAGCACCAATGCTCAACAGATGTCCCAAAGCATGTGAGGTCATGTTCTGTTTTGTTCTATTCTCCTGAGTGATCCCGATGGTTACCGATTCTAGCCAACGCATCAGCCACCGATTGAAATTCAGTCCATGGCCATGGACAAAAAAAAAAGAAGAAGAAGCTAGCCCAGGTAGAACTACAGGTCATGCTCTCTTCATAAACACTCCCGGCGTCTACCTCCCTAGCTAATTGGCAATGATCTTCCCAAGCTCATCCAAGCACTAACAAAGAAAATAAAAAGCACTCTGCCACCATCCCCGAATGCAAATGTCCATAGCTCCTGATTCACAGACGACAATGTGGACACGGTATGCACTTGTGGGAAAACACAGATATTATCTTGTCTGCACAGAGAGCCCTCAGTGAAGAGCAGATCGCTGCACAGACACTCCACGTCAAGGACCACGCAGCTCAAAGGCTCACTGTACACAAGGCTACATTATGACAGTGATTGAAGACGAAGAAACATTTCTATGTACAAATCACTTGTTTATTGAGCTGCACGTCCGAGGAGAAGTAGCGTGGACAGTGTCCCAATGGAGATGTGTCTGCCATGCCCAGTTCCTATGTTGAAGCACCAATAGGATGATCCTGGGAGGTGGGGTCATTGGGGGGTAACCAGGGTTAGATGAAGTCATGAAGACGGGCCCCCATGATGGGACCAGTGTCCTGTAAGCAGCAGCGCCAGGACGTCCTGTGTCTGCACCATGTGAGGACGCACAAGAAGGCAGCCACCCGTGACCAAGGAGATCGGTCATCACCGGCACCCGAGCGTGTCGCCACCTGGATCTCACGCTTCCAGCCTCCAGAACTGTCACAAGCAAATGTCTGTGAAGGAGCCATGCAGTCCACGGTGTTTTGTTCTGGCAGCACAATCAGGCTACGCATAGGAACATAGAAGGAATCGAACACACCCATGCTCGTGGGCTGTCACCTATAAAAAGCCATGGGAACCGGTGTCCCAGGGAGCCGGGCCACCTCCTGAGTTCCTCAACACCCAGGTCCATGCGCTTAATAGACCCACAAACACGCTGACTGGACGGGGTGGGGACCACCAGGATTTCCGCTCCCGTCATTATGCAGAGGAGGGAAGGGGACCCCAGGCCGGCTGAATGACCAGGTCAGCATCACACGGCTAGTTCACGGCAGAGCATCCAAGAAAACCCAGCCTTCTGACTTCCAACCAGTACAACTGAAGTTACACCACGGCACGTGAGCGCCGGGCTTCGAGCCCTGCTTTCCGCGTGTGGGTGAGGGCCCAGAAGACATCTCAGGGATGACACCTGCTCACAAACAGAGTCATGAGATGCTTGAACACAACGGGGTGGTCCTGAGAAATGGGGCGTTAGGTGATTCTGTCGTTGTGTGAACGTCACCTAGTGCACTCACACACATAGACGGTACAGCCGGCTCCACACCCCGGCCGGACGGCACACCACCATTCAATACGCGGTCTGTCGGCGACCAAAACATTGTTATATGGTGCGTGGCTGTGATCCTAGGCACGTATGAATGTGTATGTATGTGGGAGTATGTGCATATATGTCAGCACAGCCATACGTGCATCCACATTTCAAAGCATCAATAGGTGTGTTTGACAATATAGGGCGCATGAGGTAATGTTCTAACAATCACAAGGTAAGAAGAACTTCACATCTTGATTCCTCGCTCCATGCAACTTTCTCATTCAACGATTTGTGTCGCCGCATTCATCAACAACAGAGTCGTTCATGTCAACAGAAAGCATGTGACAGATTTAAGTCCTGGTGTCACCAACGCCCCTTTTGCAATGAGCTTTGGGGGACTAGACTCTGATGGAAAGAGGCGGACGAGACCTGATGACGCTGACTACGTCAAACGGGCCATTCGCTTTAAAAGGATTACCCTTCAAGCTCGTCGCAGCCTTCCAAATGCCACCCAGATCCCCCCCAAAGTGAGGCGAATTAAGAGCTGCGTCATGGGGGACACTAGAGCCCATGGGTTTCAATCCAGCTCTTTTTCATCTTCACGAGAATGCAAGCGCTCAAAGCAAGAAGAGTGAATTTGTTATCCTCGTGTCTCCCAAGATAACCTAAGCACTGGTCTACGGATGCCATGACGGAACGGCCCTTTTTCCTGTTGCTTACTGCTTTCCCAAATCATCTTTCAGCAGATGGGGGCAGTACGTTACGGCGGTTAAGGCTTTGGACTGTGACAATGTCCCATGTGTAGCAACACCCTGCTGCTCCTTCTCTCACGCCAGGCTCTGCTCACACGATTTCTTGCCTTTGTTCCCAGCTTCTGGGGCAGAGATCCCCAGGGGTCCATGTGCCAGCTCTTGAATTTCTTTCTGGGGAAATACTTTCTGCCAGGCTGCGT